TTGTGTCTCTAAATATGTTGAACCAAACTTGAATGCTGAGATTAAGCCCACCTGATCGTGATGTCTAATTTTTTTAAATTTGTAGCTATAATCTGTTTGCTAGGATTTTATTGAATGTTTTTATGTTGATATTCATTAAATATATTGGTCTGTAGTTTTCCTTTTCTGTTGTTTTTTTTTTCCTGGTTTTGGTATGAAGGTGATATGTGATTAATAGAATGCATTGGGAAGGGTTCCTTTTTTTTCTATGTTTTGGAATAGAATTTAAGAAATAAAGATTTATTTGACAACACACAGACCCTAAGAAATAATTCAAGCTTTGTTATTTCACAGATAAAACTCAACACATGTTAGCATACTTGTTCATAAAACTAAATAACAGAGAAATCTGGAGGAGTCTGAAGTTTGGACAAGAACCCTGAGTTCCTGGCCTCTATCTCAGAGTTACTATCCTGAGCAAAAGATTTAACTAAATTATTATGCTAAGAACTTATTAAGTTTTAACAATGTTCTTCTCAAATTTACAGGAAAATTATCACTCTGTTTATCAGAATTATAAAGTATGATAAAAAATTAATCATTAACCTAATATACAATACCCTACCCTGGCCCTCTTGTAGATATTTTCTAAAACATGTGCATAGAACCATTATGCAGAGAAAAACAATTTAAGCTCTGAGTACATCATGAGACGATATCAGAATAAAAGAGGTACACTTAAGGAAAAAAGATTTTAGAGTTGTTGGCAGTTGTATTAAGTTATTGTAGGTGGAAAGCAAAAGATACTTTTAAAAAATAAACTGGAGAGATAATTTCAAAGTTCTGAATTTAAAGAGTGGCACCAGACTGTGAAAGTAAGGAGAAAAATTCCAAGCAGCACACAGAAGAGTCAGCGTTGTAGTGATGGGTGCTTGTCATCACCCAGAAGAGTTCTGAGTACATTAAGTCGATGGAAAAGTAGCTGTAGACCGCTTGTGGTGCTGGCACAGCACAAAAGATAGACCTCCATGCTCTTTAACTGGCAAGTAAATGTCAAGAAAGAAAGCAACGTCATCTATTTTTAATCACTTTTTCTACTGAATGAGAACTTTTTCCTCATGTGCCAACATCAGGACATAAACAGGACCCAAGTTTCTTTAAGACCACCAAAGCACAGAGCCAGGGTGAAAGACATTAAAAATCATAAGGCTAGAATTAGTGATTCCTAAACCAAAATAGAACCATTCTGCACTATGTGATGAAAGTTGAAAAGGGTATTCTAGTACCTATGAGACAAAAAAAAAAAAAAAAGAAAGAAAGAAAGAAAGAAAGAAAGAAAGAAAGAAAGAAAGAAAGAAAGAAAGAAATCACTTTATTTTCCTAATTGGGTTCCATCAGTTAGTTATACTTCACAATGACTTTAAAAGATATTTGGTCAGCGTTTGCCTTTTCCTGAGCCCTTAATCAGTCAGCCGATTTGCCAAAGACTCCTGTGGAAGCTATTGCAGAAAGTCCCATTTAGTTTTAATTTAATTGCTTCTAGCACATATGGTTTGCAAGTGCTCAGAATTATTCATAGGATGGGTCCTTATCCAGGAGTATGTTATACTTATAAGTTTAGGCTTAGTGGTTTTATTCATCTATCACTATATTTTGTTCTAATGATTTTTTTTTTAATTTTTCTGTTTTACCAACAATTCTAGTTGAAAAGATGTCATATGTGGGTGTATAGAGTGGGGGCTGAGGGGAAAGTTTCCCCTCTCCTCGGAAGGTTCACTGAAAGAACAACTCACAGCAAGGGAGAGAAAGACATTTATTTACGTTGCACACAGGGAGAATCACAGAATGTTTATCCAGTATCCCAGTGGAGTTCAGAAGTTTGTGAATTCTTATTTTAAAAGGGATGGGGAGACAAGGAGTGTGAGAGATTCTATTGAGGGAGAATACATGGTTACTAGGAAGAAGGAAAGATAGATGCTTGGGAGGATGAATGCATGGGAGCAAGTCCCATATGGCCCAACAGAATATGGGAAATCAAAAGCCACGTGCAGAAGAGCAAATAACCCTTAAGTGGTGAAAGTGACGTGAGTATAAAATTATAACAGGAATGCCCTACTTGGGTAACAAACCTCGGCTATTGAGGTGCAAGCATAAAACTTTAATTGGTAGGTTAAAAAATGATCTGAATTCTCTTGTTTTTCCTACTAGAACAGTGCAAAATGTTTTTTTTTTTTTTTTCTCATTTTAGGTCAGATTTTGCTTTTTAATTTTCTTAAGAAAATGTTTAAAACTGGCTACAACATTATGTGTCTTTTTAAAAATCTAATTCCTCTATTATCACAAATAAGGTAGTTGTATAGAAGAAGAGATCTCTACTTCTTTTAATTAGAAGTCTTTAACTTAAAGGATTCATCTTTTGGTCACTAATAACTTAGAATTCTCAATAGTATATTTATTCCAACCACAACTCAATCCAATAAGTCTCTTCATAAAAAGCTCAGATGATGATTTTACAGGTTTAGAGTAAGTTTTTACCATATAACCAAGAAATGTTCCTGGAGATGACATAGAGGAGGCAGATTCCTTCATCCCCCAAAATACATTCTCAGAAATAGACTTAAGGTAGACAAAGAAATGGGACCTTTTAAGACAAAGTCTCCCTTGGAGCTTGTCATGTTCAGTACAAATAGCATTCTGCTTAGAATCTTACATGTCTTGGACTCCCAGGCTTTTCAAACTGGGTGCCTAGCGTAATAATCCTGAGGAAACACCCCTCTCAGATGGCAGAGACTGAGAAAATGGCTACTTGGTCACAAGACAATATTCCACTTGTCACAAGACAAGCTCAAGGACCTATAGTAGGATGAGAGAGGAACCTCATGCAGCTCTGCTTCTACCTCAGGACCTGCACCAAAGCTTGTCTCTAATGGTCATCAGTTAAGTCAGAACTTTGTGCCTGGCTGCCTACAGGGCCACTCAGAGGCCTTCTAAGGGTTCTAAACCCATCTTCCACTCAGGAGTAGCCCTCTTTATGACAGAACAACACAAAGACAAAGAACAACAAAAGATTCTTACTTAGAGGAGAGGGATCAGGCAATATGAATATTCATACTGCAGAATACAGAAAAAAGAAATAGAGCTGCTATATTAAGACTAGTGACTCACAATTATTACATTGTATTTAGAAAGGCAAAAGAGATAATGACCTTTGCCGTCTACTCAGCTGGAGCCCACAGAGAGAGATAATCCAGGAGTTTGACTGTTGGATAAGATACCTTACCACCTTGCTAGCTGGGGAGAGTCCTTATTCTTCTCCTTTCTGAAGATTTCAGAAGAGCAGAGGAGCTTTGGAGAACCTGCTGTACACACCAAACTGTGCAGTAAAAAGGAAAGGTTTCCCTCTGCCCTGGAAGGTTCATTGAAAGATCAATTCACAATACGGCAGATTAATAAGAGCTTATTTACCATGCCCACAGGGAGAATCAGAGAGTGATTACCTAATTCTCCAAGGGTGTCCAAAAGTTTGTATTTTCTCATTTTAGAGAGGGTGTGTGGGGGGACAGGGGGAGGAGAGATGAGGAGTATAGGTAATTCTGTTTAAGGGCAATAAATGGTTACTAAAGGGGATTAATAGATACTCGGGAGAATGAATGAATGGGAGAAACAGATTAACTTGTATAGTAAATGGTTTTCTTTGGAAATTAACTTAACCTGAGAGACAGGTTATTATCTTTAAAATGAGTTGGGCCAGGTCAGTTGAATTCTTGATCTTCTTTCTAGCAATGTATTGAGATAACAGTAAGGAGAAAGAAAGGCAACCCTTCTTTTTATTATTATTATCATTTGGGTTAAACAATAGAAATTTATTTTCTCATAGCTCCGTAAGCTAGAAGTCTAAGACCAAGGTGCCATTAGAGCTGGTTTCTGGTGCGGTTTTTCTTCCTGGCTTACAGATGGCCACCTTCTTGGGTGACCTCACATGGCCTTTTCTCTCTGTGTGTGGAGATAGAAATATTTGGTGTCTCTTCTTATAAGGACACCAATCTTATCAGTTTGGGGCTCTACCCTTGTAACCTAATTTTACCTTAATGACTAAAGACTCTATCTCTGAATACAGTCTATTGAGGGTTAGGGCTTTAACACATGAATTGGGAGGGAATACAATTCAGCCCACAACAGCTTGCTGTAAAAACCAGCAAATTCCAATATCTTACCTATATTTCCTACTCCCCAAAGCATTCAGTTTCAACTCTTGTAACAGATTACTTTGGTGTTATCTACCTATTTCTGACGGGTCTGTCTGATTTTATGCAGATAAAAGGAAAGCCCCTCTAATGCCTGTTGATCTCTAAGGGCTTTAATTCAAAATATGCTTTATACTGAAGAGTCATATTTGGGGTGTAATCCCCTGAGTTCCTCCATAGCAATTCTTTAATTCGTGTATTAATGGACTTCTATTTTGTGAAGAAGATAAAATATTTCAGAGAATTATTACATTAAAAAGAATTCTCAAACAGATAACCACACTAATGAACATAAAATGATTTAATGAATAATTTACTTTAAAAACTCATTATGTTTGGTTCTGATATTTGCAAATATATATCAGCATCTAAAATTTGGTAAGAATCTTGAGTATACTTTCAAGTGTACATACAAAAGGCTGTTGCCAAGGAAAGTTCATGAGAAGAGAACATTGATGCAAAGATTTAGAGCAGGCATCCTCAAACTACGGCCCACGGGCCACATGCAGCCTGCCTACAACATTTATCTGGCCCACTGGATGTTTTTGATGCCGCTGCCTGTCCTGCTTAGCAGCTGACTCGTCCCGGGGCCCATAGTCTGGCCTTCCACTGGTCTGAGGGACAGTGAACTGGCCCCCTGTTTAAAAAGTTTGAGGACCCCTGACTTAGAGGAAGGGACGGAACATGCCAGGTGGATATCGGGGGCAAGGGTCCCCAGGCAAAAAAAAAAAAAGGAAATGAATATTTTTTCTTTCTTTTTAACTGACCATTTTTTCACATCAGGTGAGTAATGTGCTGATGTGGTAACAAAGTTTGAGGTAGGCACATCTCACACATGCCTGCAAACATCCAGGCATCACCTTTGTGAACTACAAAAGGAACAAGAATTGAATAATTTCTTATCTGATTAGCTGGTTCAGCTTGATCAGTGGATATCTTTTGGCAAGTTGTTCAGCCTTCAAGTTTATTAGCTATGTGTAATAGAAACTGCCTCTTCCCTATTCCCTATGAATGCCATGAAAATCAGATCTACGATTATATAATACACATGTATATATACATGTATACCATATGTGGTGGCACTTAGAAAATATCGTGCACTCTCCACACCTTTCCTATGAAAAGAGAGTGTGTAATCAAGATAAATGTCTTTTCCCCCAAAGAGTGGCTATTAACATGATTAGTATAGATTCTAATTCCAGGAGGAATTACAAGGATTCCATAACTTGAAAACTTCCTGCCACATTCACTTTGAAAGCTTACATACAGAAAGTATAAAAACAATAATGGTAAAACTACCTTTAATACTCACTTGATTGGCAAAAATAATGGAAATAAAGTGTAAAAAACAGCAAATGTTGGCTAAGACATGAAGAAATGGAAGCTCTAGTAAGTTGCTGGTATGAATATAAATTTGACATAATCAGGCATGGATAATTCCCAGAGGAAGCTTTTAAACATAAACATGTATCTATGTTTGTTATATACACACACACACACATATCCATATATCTATAAAGACAGGGGCTTCTCCATATATATACATAGATACATAGATATCTACTAAATATATATGAACAGAGAGAGAGGAAGGCATGAGGAATCACCATTTTTGTGATAATTCAGGAAACTAAAGGAGAATAAAGAAAATGTTTCCGTTTCATAAAATGTGACTCCTAATACATCATTTATAATTTGTATTATTTTCTCATTTACAATTTATAACTGTATCTAATGGGATAGATAAATACATGTATAAAAAACATAGTATTTTGTTACCAAAGTGGAGGAAATATTTTTTTATTTCTAATACAGTATATAAAAAGGTAAAAAACAGGAAAAACAATACAATATCATGTTTACACCTTTGCATGTGTACAGGAATAAAATAAATTATGTATGATAATGATAAACACTGGCATGATAGCTCCTTCTCGGCAAATGTGACCAAATGTGCATATTTGATAAAGATGACTGTACCTATGTTCATGGCTCTTTTGCACGAATCCAGTATTGTACTTTTGTGAAGATGAGAGTCCTCATGATCCACTAGGGAAAAAATCTGTGAAAATGCCCACTAGTTTCAAAGGGCGGGATGACTGTCCTGCTCCTTAGGAGTGGAATCTTACCTCTGTACCGACTGGCGCACTGGTGGATCAGGCATAGTTCTCCGTCCTTCACCCCTATTATTTTATTTAATCTTTGTGATAGTTCTTTGTGCAAGATACTATTCTTTCCCCTTTTAGAATTAAGGAACTGAAATATGGTACAAAAAGGTGAGTAACTTGGCCAGCGTCACATAGTTAACAAGGTGAGGACTAGAACTTAAACCTGAGAGTCTGAGTTCTTGACCATTACGCAGAATCGCCCTTGGTAGATGTGTTTAGATTAAAGCAACAACTCTTAAACTGTGGTCCAGGGCTCAGCAGCAGCAGCACCTGGGAACTTGTTAAGAATATAAGTTCTTGGCTCGGCGCCTGTGGCTCAAGCGGCTAAGGCGCCAGCCACATACACCTAAGGTGGCGGGTTCGAATCCCCAGCCCGGGCCCGCCAAACAACGATGGCTGCAACCAAAAAACTGGCTGGGTGTTGTGGCGGGCGCCTGTAGTCCCAGCTACTTGGGAGGCTGAGGCAGGAGACTCACTTGAGCCCAGGAGTTGGAGGTTGCTGTGAGCGTGATGCCATGGCACTCTACCCAGGGGGATAGCTTGAGGCTCCGTCTCAAAAAAAAAACAAAACAAAAAAAGAATACAAGTTCTTGAGCCTCACCCGGAATCTTCTGAATCTATACTTAGCAAAATGTATTTTTTGTTGTTTGTTTTAAATCACATTTCCTTATTCGTAAATACAGTAGACAGTAGAATAAAGACCTCTGAAGCTAAATATATTTTTAAGAAGTCCTTCCCATGACTCTGACCCATCCTAACATTTAAGGATCCTTAGATTACAACAATTTACAGGCCTATACATCTCACAAACAGGAAAGTTAAAAAGGACATTGGGATATATATTCCCTTATTGTTTTTTACTTCAGATGAAAACTGATGCTACTTGACTCAAACTATTAAACGGGCTGTGAGGTACAGAAAGTTTTCAGAAACCCATATATCTACTTGGGAATGTGGTAAAAATTTTGCAGTGGGAGCGAATAACATTCAGAGAGATAGTCTTGCATATTTAGAGAATTTCTGTGAAACTGATAGCAAGAGACTCAGGTGTTAAGGGGAAGATTCTGTGTGTGATCTCTTGCCTCCTCTCATGAATTTCAACTTACAGATTTCTTCTTTAAGTTAAAAGAAGAAAGTTAACCTAAGAAAAAACAAATTAGCCCAAACTTTGATCTCTTTGTCCTTGGAGCCACACACATCCTGAAATTAAATTTATATATATTTTTAAGAAGGAAATTTGCACTTACTAGTTGAATCACATGTGGTAAAATTGTACATTTTGTAGAAAGAATGAGTCAAAGAAGAAGGATCAGAGCTCTTGAAATCCATCCACTGGATTCCCATTACAAGTTCCAATGGAAATTGGTCCATGGAGTGCACTACGTCCTATGTGGCGAAGGGTGGTAATAAGAGTGAAGTAAAACACAGAGAAGAGACCCATGGGCCTGGTAAAGCACTGTGGAAAGAACAGAAACCATTGAATAAACCCCAACTCTTTATTGCCCTTGTGAGTTAGAGAATGCTGAGATAATTTCACATATATGTTTCACGGAGACATTACACTATCAAATCTGGTTCAGAAGATTCGCCATCTTCTGAAACAAAAAAGATCTCCTTCATGGGAGACTTCTATTACTCAACAAAAATTCTAAAACTTTTTGGGGAACTCAACACTTAAATTATTCCTCTGCCTCCAGCCCTATTAGTCCATCTTGTTTGTGCGTATTTATTTTTGCTGCTGTTTTTAATGGCTACAATTTGGAAGAAATGGATGGAGAGACTTCCAATTCCCTTGACCCCACTTTGTATTCACACAGAAAAATGCAATTTAAATAGATTTACAGTAGAAGTAGAAAGCAGGTATTTCTCTCCAATGCAAGTTTCCTTTCCTTCCACTTTTGCAAATACTTAAGTATATTAGCAGGGGATGAATAAGACTCTCTCCAAAAAGATAAACTCTTTCTCCTGGATTTCATCCCAGTTTTCCTTGGGCATCCACTAACTCTAACTGGTGCTTTTTACAGTCTTTTGTCTAGCACAGGTTTATCTGGTTTATATGATTATGTACATGTGAGTGAAAGTCATTGCATTTTTTAAATACCATGATGATTTTATATGTAATGTGTACAAAAACCATGTTAGAGTTGATTTGGCAACACTATCTGAGCCTTTTCTTCTCTTCCGATTAATCATGTTAAGATAGGCTATGGGAAGCATGTTGTAATCATTTTTTATTCACTGTTTAAACTCTACCCCTATGATTATTTTTATCTCTAGAAACAATAGACATTATAATTCCTAAGTTATGGGTGATGACACTGAAGCTCTGGAAGCTGAGATGGTTTGCTGGCAACAATGCAGCTAGTTAATGCATTATAAAGGTAAATTTTGGAACCAAGACCCAATAACACCTTCTGCGTCCACGCTATAATATTGCATTACTTCTCAGATGGCAGACTATCTTTTGGTATTCAAATACATACTCAAGTCCTCAAGGACTAAGAGATTGTCCTTTCTGTCAGAGAATCAATTTACAACTTTCCCAGATCTGGCACTTTTTTTTGATAAATCACTTGCTAACATGTCTTCTGAGCTGGGCTACACATTTTCTCACATGGAAGAATCCCATGACTTTGTCCACTCAGAATGGCAAAGTAGCAAGGGAGGAGAATTTGGTTTATAGGGGTCATGTTTCTTTTCTTGAAAATGTGTTTATTTAATGGATGCATTCTGGAACACACTGGCTAAGCAATATTTATTATCAATTGGAAGACAAATATTTATAGGGAAGAAAATGTAGAATGATCTACTAGACATGTAAACTTGGATTAAAATCCTGGCTGTAATAATGTAATAATAAAACTCTAGAAAACATATTCTCATCTGCCTACATTACATAGTTAATCATAGATATTATATAAAATATGTGTAAATAAGGATAATAAGTATTTTAAAGCTGAAAAATAAGGGCTGGGCACGGTGGCTCATGCCTGTGATCCTAGCACTCAGGGAGGCCACGGCTGGTGGATTGCCTGAGCTCAGGAGACCAGCCTGAGCAACAGTAAGACTACGTCTCTAAAAACAGCTGGACACTGTGGCAGGTCCTCTATATTAATATATAAGAGTATATAATATGTAACTATTACATATTAGTAGTTCCAGCTACTAGTATATACTATATTAATATATAGTAGTTCCAGCTAATATATACTATATTAATATATGAGTATATAATATGTAAAACAATATAACATGTGGTAAAATATAGCAAATGAGTATTATATACACATAAAAGAGACAACATTTTATATCAACTTTTTATAGCATAAATAAGTTGGGGTTCAAAGCTTACCCCTGATATTATTAAATAATGACTAGGATAGAAAAGAAATGAAATAATTCTAATAAGGTTTATTACACAGTAAGATTTCCATTAATATTTTTGAATTGCTATGGTAATCATCTATGATAACTGCTAAACAAATAAATAAGATTGTTTATTGGCTTATAGTTGTACAAAACCACTGTCTTAGAAATTTTGATTCTGCAGGTCTGAGTTGGTAACCAGATATCTCAGCAGATATATATATGTGTATATATATATATATTTTAATATCTTAATATGCACACATACATACATGCATAATTTACTAGGCACTCAAGTACCTTTTTATAAGCAAATAGGGGCTTCCCACATTGTAATAATGAGATAT